TCTTTCAAATCCATGACATGAAAAGTTTGTTCGTTATAAAAAGGACATTCCATTCATATAATATGCAAGAGTGACAAAAAATAAGAGATAGAACTCAAAAAATTAAATGTCATATGATCACCAATATTTGAAAAATCACGCAAAGTTATGTTCTCYAGAAGTTTTCAATATATTTTAGTGTGTAACCTTTCATTCAATGACTGGATCAAATGGGTCAATATTCAGTCGATTTTTTTTAATTGGGTTAATGGTTTTTTGTCAAATTCTAGGTTTTAGGAAAACCAAACCCAAAAATATGATCGGGTGACAGATCAAACGATTTGAMCTAGTAGTATTTATGCATGGTTTGGTTCAGTGTGGTTTGGAGAAAATCTCAGACTAAACCAATAAATTACAGTTTGGGAAATTCTCAAACTAATCAAACCGTTTTGGCATGAAAACCAAACCAAACCAAACCAAAATGGTTGGGTGTAGTTTCTAATACAATTTGGAGACTTTGGACCATTCTATGATTCTATTGGGATTAACTTTATATTATATTTATAATTTTATACATTCAACTTAGATGTTTATAATTTTGCACATCATATATTTATATATTATATTATATTATATTATATTTTATTATATATTTATGATTTGTGGTTTGGTACGATTTATAAAAAAATCCAATAAACCAAACTGAAACCATAAATTGTAACTTAATAAACCACAAATTCAGGTTGGTTCAGTTCAGTTTTACTGTTTAAACCATACAATGAACACTCTTAATTTGACTATCCGAGTCAATGATGGATTTAAAACATTAGTGATCACTTTCGATCAACAAAACTAGCATATCGTTTGATGGATATAATATATAACTAACCCAAACTAAGATTATTTTTTCTCGCTAAGTAACCCAAATCTTATATATATAGGATTGGGGTGCTCTCTCCGTGCAGGAAATGGAATCTACTCGTGTGAGTAGATTCTCACATGAGAGCAACCCATTTCCTATTAATTATATAATAGCTATCTAATTATATAAATATATAATAGTTATTATAAATATTGTTAATAACTAGAATATCGA